TATATATATATATATATATATATATATATATATAAAATCTTTTTTATACATAAAAATGTGCATTTCATTTTGTTCACTTAAATTAATGATATTTTTGAAGTACTATAAAAGATTTGGGTGATAAAAATATAAGAAGCAAAGTTTTGGGTTTTATATAAGTAAATATATAGAAATTGGATGGATTGTATGTAATTGCCTGAATTTTAAAATATTTTGACATGATAAATATCAAAATTAAATAAAATGTCATTATTATTTTAAAATTAGGATTTATGAGGAATAAATTATAAATATGTTAAATCTTGTGAATCTTGATATTTAATAAATGTTGAACTTAAATAATAATGAAATTGACAAAAGATTTATAAAAATAGTAGTATTCTAAAGTCCCCAAAAATCAAATTATTTGAATTTAAGCTAACTCTTACATACGTAATGCATAATATAGATACTAAGTAGTCCTTTTTAAATATACATCATGCATAAGGCAGGGTACTGAATAATCCCTTTTCAAGTACGATCTAAATGATAACGGAAGAAGATATATTATGGATATATAATATAGAGATGTGGCGATTGGATTTAACAATAATATTGTGCTAAAAATATAATGCTTGTGGGGCTATGAATCTCTGTAACGAAAGTATGAATGTGTATGCTTTTGATTTTTGTATTCACGAAAGTTGAATTATCTTTATCCTTGGATAGCCAACCAATTTTAATTTATTTGGGACATCCAATTATTTTGACATCGGAGACTTTTTTATTAGTTTTTTTTTTCTATAAGAAGAAAGGGTAAATTGAATTAACTTTTAGTTATGAGAACACTACATGCTTCTTCTCTAAGGAATGTGGTACAATCAAAGTAGTGATTTGCATTATTCTAAGAAGTATAAATGAAAATAGTCGTCAATTTTTTTCTCCTAAGAAGAAAATAGAGGGCATCACGAACAAAAGGCCCCATGACATTAATGACAATATGTTCTATATTGTTATTGCAAAAATCCACCAAATCTTGAAGATGAAATTGTGTTTGAAGGATGAAAATAATACATTATGAATTATAAGTTAGAATAGCAAGAGGAGAGGTAGTATGGGTAAATTCAAAAGACATCTTACAAATCTTCATCATTCACGTATCAACTACAATTATGGTCAATGCTTTCCACCATATGTGATTATGACATGTCCATAGAAGCTTCTTCAAAATCCAAATCTCATTGAGCTTTATTAGAAATGCCTCTTAGGCATACCTCTTACGAGTATGTCTTTCAAATGCCTCTCAAGAGTTCTTCCTGAGAAAATTTCATAATAATCTCAAAAGACAGTTCACTCACCCAACATACCTTCAAACTCCATGTCTTCCGATTATACCTTCAACTAAAATTTTGACAAGATTTTTTAAGAAAATTCATAAACTTTTGTGTAACGCTACACTTATAGAGCACTTTCATCAACTCATAACATGCAATTATTATTTTGATGTTGAATGCATGCCTTCACTAGCTCATTTGTCATTCTTGAAAGCCTTGAGATTTTAGTAAAATTGTAAAATGCTATGAGTTATACTCTTAAGTGCACTTCAGAGTACCCTTATCATCAATTTCTTATCTACTCCACCATTTTAGCACAACATGCAACCAATCCAAAGCCTTGAGCCCACCATTCCTAAATGCATTGGAGCAAGCAGTTAAGGCATTACTCAATCTACCTTCCATTCTCATCCTATCTCCAATAAATTTTCATAGTTAGAACCTATGTAGCACAACATTTAACTCAGTTATCGACATGTCATATTTGAAATGTATCCAGGATTATTAATCTGGGCTTTCTTTTATGTTTACTTTCAAGCTATATCCATTGCAATGAACATAAACTGGATCCAAGGAACATCATTTATTGGTTCATCTCATGCATTTAAATTTTTATCTAAGGTTAATGACTTACTTCATCAATTGATATACAAAAGTATACTAAAGATTTTTTTGACAAGTATATCATTGAAGGTTCAAGTGTCAGCATCATTTCTTTATTTTTCTTCTTAACTTTTAAAACTAATTATATATGTATTTTCAACTCAAGTGCAACTTCACTATGTTTTTATTAGCTTAATACATGTTTATATCACCTCCATTGTGCATAGAAATTGGCATAGTTGATAATTTGCCAAATTTGATCCAAAAGTGATACAAGCTACAAGGCAAACTAATATGAATCTATAAATATAATTTATACATTATTTTCTTCTCTTTTTTTCTTTTAAAAAAGTTATAATGTTATAATTCTATGTTTTTCTCATTTGTACTCCTGAATTTTTGTTCCTCTTTCAAATATCTATGATAATCAAATTCCTCCATACATTTTTTTAGCATCATTTTTGAAAAAAGTTTATTATTGTTTAAAGTGAAAAGGAACCATGAAATAAAATTTGGACAAAATAACACCTCAAATGAGCCTCTTTTCTACCCAAGCCTTCACAAATTGAAATTTTTTTATAATAATATATTTATTACTATGGGCTTCACTTTCGGCATGGAAGATCCGTACAATTGAATTCCTTAAATCATGGAGTTTGTACAAGATCCTTCACTTAGAAATCCTCCCTTTTAGCAGCACAGAGAGAAAATTTTGAATACAATATATCCCCTCTTCATCCCGACAAGTTCCTATTCGTTCTCTTTACAAGTTTTTCTCCCAAAGTTATTTCGTTGAAGTTTAATGCTCTTTGACTAGAGACTTATAAATGCACCATTTATATTTTAATCTCTACTGCTAAAAAGTGTCATCTCCTTGCAATCTTCTTTAAAGATGCCACCTATAAGTATTTTAATCATCTTTATGTCAGTATTGTTCACTTATTTAAGTAAAATTTATTTCTTACTTCACTCTTAATTTTCTACATTCAAATGGCATGTTAAAACCCTTAAATCCTATTTTATATGTTAAATAAGTTAAATGTGAAAGTATATGATACTATGTTAATTGATTTATAGAAGCACCATATAACATGATTAGTGGTGTTTTTATAATTTGTTTGTAGTCTATAGTTCTTAAATTCTTTATTTTTAAAAATTATTTTGCTATCATGAATGCACCACTTAAGAATATGGTTAGGTTTGTCAGTATTAAATAAATTATCTAAGAAATAGATATGCTAACTGAATCTAAGTCCTCGCAAGCAATAAGAGTTTATGTGAAGAGAACTAGGTAATCTTATCCCAATTTATCCTTACAAAAAGTATCATAAGATTGATTTCTCATAATAAAGGAATTACCAGTATAAACAACATTCTCATAAGATGTTAAAAAAGCCCCATTTTTTGTCATCCTTAATAAAATATGAAAACTCACCATAATTATCTTAATGAATCCTTAGTTGTTATGATGATAGTCATTCGTTTGTGAGAGCATTTTTTATGGCATGCTCTTTTAAATAAAGGTGTCAAGAAGAAAGAAATACAACAATTTTCTTAGACATTAATGATTATGGTCCTGATTTTAATAATTGTAGATATTTGAAAGGTCTTATGGGATTTTGACCAATAAATTAATTTTTAAGGACTCCTCACCCAATACTAAAAACAAAAATAATCTATCAAATAATTTAATAAGGTTTCTAGTTCATTAAAAATATGTAAGAATTTAATAAGGTTTCTAATTTATTTTATTCATCATCATCTTGCTATTCTTCTTGTTTTTCTTGTTCTTCTTGTTCTTCTTTTTTTTTTCTTCTTTTTTTCACATTTTCTTCTGATCCACCTTAAAATTATCTATTTTTAGTGCATATTTTAAGAATTTTTTAAGCATATTTTTAGTGATATTGCACTTTAAAGGAAGGTATTTTGTATGTTTTTGGTTTCAAGTATATGGAATGAACATTTGGAGAAAATGAGGGGAAAATGAGCAAAAATGGTGCAAAATGGTACGGCGTCATAGCATCGTTTCATGGCGCTATAGTGCCACAGACGCGGGCAATCCGCGATTTAGCGCCCAGACAGGTGCTATAGCACCAATTACTTCCCTTCTAGAAGATTCATTGAATTTGACCAAAGTTTGAAGAGATGTTTGAAGCAACCCTTAGTTAATTTCAGAGTTTTATTAATATAAACAAAAATTGGATGAAAGAGAGGACTTTTTGGCACCATTTGAAGTCCCACTTTAGTGTTTAAGTGTATGTTTAGTGTGTTTTTTGTTGAATAGTAAGAGTTTGGAGATTTCTTCAATGAGACCCCATAATTTGTGTTGGGGAGAAGATGACCAAAGACAAATATGTTGAGATTTTCATACCTTTTCTATACTGTTTTTAATGATATTACACTTTAAAGAAAGGTATTTTTAATGTTTTGTTGCAGGAATGATGAATTAGGGTCAATGGAGCAAAAAAATGCAAAAAGGAGCGAATTTGGATCTAAAATGACCAAAATGTGGAGAATTGCACTAGGGCGCCGACGACGAGCTTTTCCCGAGGCTACAGGACAAATTCTCCAGAAGGCCGCC